CTTAGGTTACACATCTACGCTATTGAAATCGGAGCACACTGATAGATTCCCTTCATACATAAACTAATTTGTGAAAGTAGTCCAATTTAACTATGAATATGAAAGTCTTGAAGAGGATCCAGCTTTTCTGATGCGCAGAATAAAATGAAGACAAGATAGGGATTTGGAGACTTTTCCTTGGAAAACCTCTACATTCGAATCATCAATAAAACTTCAGATCATCACAATCTGTGTAATTGAAAGTAGGCCAATTAAAGTGTTTAATTAGCAAGGCCAAATAAACTTACTAGTTAGACAGAAGAAAAGAGAGAAAAGAAATCAGATACAGTTAAGAAAACTTACTTTTGAATAACCGCTATCCTAAATTAATGAATTCATAAGAACCTGTAAAAAAATTAAGATTGGTAGTTACAACACAGATGTTAATCATGACCATAGCAAAACAGCGCAGATAGAATTCAGAAACTCTACAGTGCTAACACTCACCGAATTCACCTCAGAGATGTTGTGTAAGATTTTTCATGAGACTGGAGTTAGACTTAAACTGATAAACTCACTGGTAAACAGTCACTATAGTTTAAAACATTTTATTGGTTCAATTATACCAAATAATTTAGTTACCGAGTATGTTGTAATGACTCAGAGATCAAATGTATACATCTGAGTAGTCGACCATAGTCGATTGAGTTGTGTGAACACAAAATACCGTCTAAATCAACATTGGTAGACTAATAGAATAGGTATTCTACAGAAAAGCTTGACTATAATTATGCATGCCTTTAAACACAAACAAGTAATAGAATTAAACAAAGTAACAGTCTTTCAAACTAAATAATTAGGGCAAAGGAAAAGACTGGTAATAGAATCTTTGTTTGCCGAATCAGTATCAACTAAATGCAATGGGAATGACTTAACATCTCTATCAGGCACATGAAAAATTGTTTTACCAATATCACAAAAAAGGAGAAGGGAGAATTAGAACCATGTCGCAATGTTACGGAGTTAACTAGAAATCACAGTGGACATTAACTTCTGTCCGGAAAGTTATCTAGTGGATAATAATGTTTCACTGTGTGATGTATATAAAAGTCAAAATCGAATTGTTACAACCTACTTGGTTGACCCTACTTTGCTCTTATACAAAACATAAGGCAATAGGTTACTATTTCTATTGCTATTATGTTTCTCATAAGAAGTTAAAGTTGGAGATCATGAAATCCTAGTTGTTAAAGAAACTTATAAATGAAATGAGCAAATTCGTTTAGATTGACCTGAAGAAATAGCTTGATTCTGTAAAGAGTGTCACACTGAGTTAACTTCTTCAAGGTATTGAGTACAAATAGGTTGCTACTTATAGCCTTATGAATGATGAAATTAAACAGTGCATTGGAGTAATCCATGGACTGCATCGTTTTATAAAGATTTAAGCTCTAAGGTAATAGGATTTAATGTATTCAAATACTTGGGGTCATATTAGTTTTTCTTAAGCCGAGCATGGCAGTTCTTAGTGAACATGCATATACCATTTTTTGACTAAAATTATCTGAATAAATTAACTTAAAATACTATTTTGAATTCAATCTCATGGAAAATATTTTCTTTACAATAATGAAACATTGGATAGTACAAAATCACTGCTCATTTTGTTTTTACATACCATACAAGGGCTACGGAAGAAAATATAACCAAGATAGGCTTATCATTCGGCTATGAAAAAGTTGGGATGTTGATGATTTTGCGGGAACCACATCAAATTCAGGTAAGAAAAGTATTCATAGAGATTTTCTAAAATGGAAGTGATCTCCAACTTACCAAGTCACTTTGTAGTATACTGTACTCAAATTCCTGTTTTTGGATAAGTTTTAGTATCAAAGCAGATATTAGTAAATCACTCCCCTTAATCATTGCTCGTATGCTTTTAAATCCACTAATGCGTGAAGTAGAACTCACCCACTATATTACGTGTAAGAACAAGGAAGTGAATACTTCCGTAATCAGCGGAAGATGGTCAGTTTACTCAGTTATAAATAAATTATTAGCTACACATCTTTCAAAACAGCTCTTATTGCTTTAAATTTGTTTGGTTATCCCACACATGTTACATGTGAGCTACAGTTAAGAAGTGTGCTTTCAGATATCTAGGTCACTGGATGTAAATAAAGTCTTGCAGTAATTTAATGAGACTTGATCCATCAGATCGGCAAAACATTCTTCAGATAACTGTCTCCCAGTCCTTGAATTCTGCTTACTGACGACTGTACACGAAACTGCAGTGCTTGTGTCATATCAACCTCCGGCGGGAAAAAATTACTCACAACTGGGCAGATGACATATATCACACCCAGATTATTATTTCATTACTTTGTTTCACAATACTTGTGCCAAATTTTACATTCGCAGGTTCAAACTTCGGTTGCACGAATGTAATAGTGTATTCAATATAATTTTATATTACAGTTATTCTGCGTGTACTGGAAGATATTCAACTGTAGTTGAATCAGTTTTCTATGTTGATGTCCTAATTGTTCAGCTACTACACCCCAATCCATCATCTTCTTCGAGACCATAATGTAAAAAAATTGGCTCTTTTTTAAAACGTTACCTTTACCGTTTCCCACACTGTATTGCTTTGGCTATTTTTGTTGAGGTTAGAGCAAGTACCAAGTACTTATCTCAGGAATAAAACGAATTTCTTAGCTGATATTTAATCTGAGGTCGTCTTTCCTTCTTGGGTATTTTAATAGTTCTCTTATAATGGATTCTTGTCTGAACTTCTTTCAAACTTCGCCTATTTTCATACTAGATAATTTTTAATATGAATACATTTTCTAGTATTCCGTTTAATTTTGATTATGTGATCAAATTTAGGACTAATATATGGCCTAAAGTAGTTATTACATACTTTATAAGGTTGATCTACGTTATAAGCTTTTTGATATCGCTGATGTAAATGACATTCTAACGTCTCTCCAAAAAGGCAACAATTAAATTTTATCATATTTCTAATTGCCAAGTTTTCTGTCAGTCATTATGCCGTGAGTTCATTCAGACAGAAACGTTTTTCTCTTTGAATGGTAAATTACCAGTTTATCAGTTTAAGTTTTAAGTGTTAGTAAGCAAAAAGTTACGCCAACTGTCCTTTATCCATTATTCGGAAGTAAATTCTGTCGAAATTAAGGTCACTACATCACACAAGCCTAAAAAATTAAAGTATTCTTATCATTTTTACCTCTCAGTTCAAATTATACCGGCGGACTTACTTTTGTTCCATTTGATTGATTAAAATAAGGTGTTATTTAATAAAAGACATCTTGACCGTGGGTATTTTTTTATCAGATTAGTTTTCCTTGAAGTCTTATTAGCTGAAATTGAAGTTCATGAACCACATTATTTCATTTTGGTCGATCAATATTAAGACCAACCAAGGTTTAAAGCATATTGTTGTTCATAGCAGATACAAACTTCAAGATAGAAAATGTCCTGGCAGTGCTGTAGCACTAGTTAATGATTTCCTGTGTTCCTGCACTTTCTTCCAGTTAGTCTTAACTGTTTTATGCGGTTCTCTTATGAATTAAAGCTTTTCACTTTGAAATTTTCTGATATTTCATCCATTAAAATAAGGTCATATCTTCAGTGTGATCGGTATCAAAACACTGCAATGCCACCACACAACACAGAGACGAATATTACCTGAATGATTTGCATCTGAATTCTATAGTCCACAAGTGGAAAGCCGATTGTGTTACCACTTATATAGTCTACTTTTTGTAAACTTCTGTTTCAGTGAACAAACAAGTTTAGTCCTCAACTGTTGTATCCCTAAGTTTTTAGTGGCAACAAAGAGTTCATGGGAGCTTTTTTTATCCGATATCAAAAATCATGTTGTAAGTTTACGTGACTATTGAATTACTTCTATATCTTCATATCACTAATCTGCTTTCCAAAAAATATGTTGAGATCTCCTAGTTTTATCAAGCAGATATACATGATCCCGGGCCAAAAAGTCTCTACTGTGTACAACTAGGGTTTTGATCCGGTGCTAATGGCGTAAATGCATTTACAGATTTGATATTATTGGCAGCAAAATTTATGGCACTTGTAACCGTCATCTGAAAAAGCAGCAGATTGTTTGGTAGCTAATAGTGTGTGAACCAACACGATCATCTCCGTGTTTTTTTTTATCTGTACAAAGTTGAACTTAGAAAATGTCTACCGCTCGTCTGTATCCTTTCGACATGAAATTCATCTTAAGGTAGCTTTTTTCCCAAACCAACTTAAGTTGAATAACCATTGGAAACCTGGGAGCACTGAACAACTGCTTTGCGCTATCGTGGAACTACTTGATAGTGTGCACCTGTAACCCCAACAGAGGTCGAACACAGGTTCTTCACGTCTCGTGATGAGAAAGTTATCCTTTGGTCACTGGTTTGGAACATACTATTGAGTAATCTCACACCATAAAGAGACAGTTATCCAGTGCTTCCAGGTTTTAAATGTTCCCCAACTAATGTCAGTGGGTGATGAATACCATTTTGAGATCAACCTTTCCTTCTTATCTTTTCTTCATTTCTTTCAAATTCAGTTATGAACACTATCAACAAATATTCATCTGTTCACCAAAGCTTGATCACGGAGTCCAATTAATAATCACGTGAATCGTTACAGTCTGAAAGTAACCATTATTCGAATCTAGAATAAAATGAAGATTTATTTAAACAGTTTTCATGTATATATAATGATAGATTAAAAGATGAAATAAAAACAGAAAAATTCAGTGTTACAATGAATATAGTAATCATCCAGTAAGTCACCATAATCTTTATGTTTATTTCACATTTACATTGCGAAGTGAACAACTTCTAATGACTAGAAAGTTAGTTATATTTTGAATAAGAAGATTTTTCTCTAACATTTCCTGCATGAGTTTTAATAAAAGTGTACAAACTGATGAATACAATCATCAAACACTGACAATTCCATATTACAATGACCAGCTCAAGTTAAATACTAGGTTTATTCTTCCACAATCTTAAGTAAATCACAATATTGTTTTTACATAATAGAATTTTATTTCTCATTGGTGATAAGATTAGGAACAACGTAACTGAACGTATAATAAATGTAAAAGAACGAAATAACTGTAAACTCTGATATATTACTCTAAATACAAATCTATTATCTTTGTTAGCGTAAAGTCCATCTAATAATAAATCTCCTACATTTATCATAACTCCAAGGGAACTCCATATAAGAACTAAACAATCCAATTGTTTCTGTATTTGTTTATTGCCTCCAATTTGTTGTTTAGCGATAAAGTTAGTTTTACGTTTATGTTTATACCTGTGTAATAAAATTAAGAAGAATACAGTCATTACCAAAACTATAGGTATAATATCAATCAATACTATGGAAATATATCTAAAAGCTAATAATTCTGTCCTATTAATCATTGTCTCTGGAACAATACTACACTGACCAGTGTCGTTCAATTCCACAAATAAAACTAAATATAAGTTACTGACTAGATTATATGCCCAAGAAAAGCAGTAAATTCCAGCGATTATTTTTGGATAACGTAATAAATCTGTATCTGGAAAGAATGTATTCAAACAACGTTCCACTGTCATGCCAAGAATATTTTGTCTACAGAATGAATTAAAAATACTGATCAAAAATTCATTTGTCCACATATGACAAGTTAAAACATTTATCCACCTATATGGTGTAGCTAGAAAATATGGACAAAATGTATTTCCAATTTGTGCTATCGCTGCGAGTGCCTCTGATGTTATTTCAAGCATAATAAGGATACTAGATAGATTAGCATCAATGGTTACTTTAAATGTAAAATACAATGCCAGTGGATTGATTAAAAGTGTACAACATGAAAATATGACTGTAGCTAAATCGAACTTCTCAAAAACTGACGCAGAATACTGAAGTCTATAAACAATCCCACTTTCAAAATCACACATTATGCATAGAACTAACAAAAAGAAAACTCCCGATTCTATTTTACTCAAAAACAATGAATTTGATGATATATTTAAGGTTCAGTGTACAAGATAATGAAATGAATTTCAGTGTTGATTTTTCTGGGCGACTTTAAAGGCTAACCTAGCAACTGCTGTAACAACCAATAAAGTTTCCGTATTCCTGCTGGAAAGGAAATTTTTCATCGGAGAGAGAAACCTAATTGGTTATCACATCAGTTGCTAGGGTGGCCTTTAAGGTTGAGTGACTTTAAAGGCCATCCCAACAATAGCTAAACTAACCAATCATGTTTCTGTATTTTATGAAAATCTACCTATCTAACCGAAATGCGGAAACCTAATTGGTTATTTCTGTTGTTGCTAGGGTGGCCTTTAAAGTCAATCATTTTTTCTTTTTGTATCAATTAAAGCCTATTTTTCCAGTTGATCATTTATTTTTTATTGGTAGATGAAGCTAGTGAATAATAATAATAATAATAATAATAATAATAATAATGACTGGCTGGGCACTGTATTGTCGACTGTATATTCAGTTCACAGAAAATATGAAATCTCTTAGTGCTCCAATATTATGTAGATATAATCAAACTTCACTTTTTGTTTCTTTTTTGTCTTAGTTTTGCCTAAATGAATGACGTTTAATCAGGACAATTTACTCAATGAACAGTTCTCTTTTCAGTAATCTACTTCTTAAGGCTATGTAACATCAATTGATTACATCTTAGGTGAACATACGCAGTGTTATTGATACTTACAATGATTTTTAGGGTACTGCATCAAACTATATAATTTAAACTTACTGCAAGAAACCACTTAAAATAGTCGAAACTACTCGAGATATCATAAAAGCTAAATAAACATCAATAATTTAATCTTGGAGTTTGTGGGGATTTAGTGATTTTTCAAGTTGGTAATCATCATGGACTGACATCAGCTGGATGAACACTGGAAACCAAGGTGCACTGAACAGCTGTTTTTCCTTCGTGCTGGACTCCTCAGCAGTCACCAATGATTATTGGATTCCGACTCAGTGGCATAGTGATAACGTGTTGACCACGGAACCTGAAGGTCCTTGGTTCGAGTAACTTCAAAGTAATATCCATCATGAACTTTTGTCAATTAGAGAACTATTGAAAACCTATAATCGCTGAACAGCTGTATTTTTATCCCAGTTTGAGACTGCTCAACAGTGAGTATCCACTCAAACTGCGACAAAACTTAAAACACAAGTGTCAAAAGGTAACTTCCGTTAGTGGTTTCACACTCAATTATTAAATGGCTTAACCACTGATATCAGTAGTCTAAAACTGGAAAAAGAGCCAGTTCAGATGCATTCCCGCACAATTCAGAACCATTAGAACTCATGTATCACCGATGAAGATTTCAACAGTGAGAATCAGAGCTTGGTATAATGTTCATCAGAGCTTTTTTTGCCAATCACAGTCCCAGATCGCCATTCAGGGATACACTTCCTGGTAGATACTGGGCGGAGGCTAGCGAAATCCTACCAACCACCAAGAAACATCTGCTGCCAACTTCCCTGAAATTCCGCGCTGCCAGACACACGGTCGCAAGTTTGCTTCACCTTAACCTTGGACTACGCCGTTCCTTTCAGTGGGTTTCCATCATCCTTGATGTGACCACCGGTGTAGTAGGTGAAGAGCTATTACAACCCTATTTGTTGCTGGTAGATACAGGTAGGAACAAGTTGGTCGACTCTAACACAGTACTCTCCGTTTCCGCTTTTGTCAGCGGTATCCTCCTTGTCAGCCCGGTGTATTCCAAACCTGACATTCACAAATCTTATACTTCAATCGTTCAGTCATTTCCGGTCATTTTCAAGCCAACATCTGATATACCTTTCATAACGCCTGATGTTTCGTATCACCTAATGAGAAATGGTATACCGATTTCCGCCAAACTGTGACGTTTATCTCCATATAGACCGCGAGTCAGCAAGACTGAGTTCGAACATATAGTGAAAATGGCTATCGTTAGACACTCTGACATCCCATGGTCTTCTCCGTTCCACATAGTCCAGAAGAAAATGCCATAGACTGGCGGCCTTCTTCATGACCGTTGCTGATTCAACATTAAAACAGTCCCAGATTAGTACCCAGTACCTTACATATACGAATTAACTACTACTCTGAAAGCTGTGAAGGTCTTCAGCAAACTTCACCTGACATGCGTCTACCATCAAACACTAGTACATCCAGATGACATATCGAAGACAACAGTCACAACACAATTCGACCTGTTTGAATTTCTCCGCATGCCTTTCCGACCACGAAATGCCACACAGACCTTCCAGCGTTCCATATGCGACGTTTTGTGCGGTTTATATTTTTCTTATACCTATAATGATGATATTCTTATCGTGAGTGTAGACGAGAACAGCCATCGCACTCAAATGCAGCAAATTTTTGCAACGCTTGCCAACCACTTACTGTCAATCTGGCCAAGTACCAGCTTGGTGTCCATTCACTGACCTCTCTTAGTCATGTATTTAGCGAGCACGGCATTCACCCTTCACTTGTAAAGGTGCAGGCTATTCAAGATTTTCCGGTAGTAACGTCATTTAAAGCACTGCGTACATTCCTGGAAATATTGAGATCCTACCCTTTTTTTTCCTAGTGTGCACACATTTTAACTGCACTAACCAACCTGCTGAAAGATTGGGGCAATACTTTAAGCATGACTTTCGAAGCATTAGAAGCATTTCTCAGGACCGGAAAAGCAATAAAAGATGCAACAATGTTGGTTCACCAAGATATAAACCTTTCTCTCAACATTGCTGTTAATATCGCCAACAGAGCCATTGCAGTTGCGCTGCAACAGCTTACGGACCGCACTTGAATTCCATTTGCGTTCTTCTTCCAGAAGCTATCCACATACGAAATGTGGTAGAGCACTTCTGGTCGTAAATTGCTCACCATACCTGCCTCATTTGAGTATTTTCGTCATACTTTATCACCCTTACCGACCTTAAAGCTTTGACTTACGCTTTACACAGGTACAGGTATTTTCTGCATGAACTACGTCATTCTGATTACACTTCACAATCCACATCGGACGCACGTCACATTTCTGGTGTAAACAACCCCTCAGCAGTCTCTCTGTCTTGCGTTTGCACCACTACTTTACTTCAGACGGTCCACTTACAGAAGACTGCTGAACTTCAGGGTTCAGACGAGAATACGGAAAAATTCAACACTCCACCTACCCGAAGATATAGCCTGTAACGCTTCTGAACAAGGAAGAGAAAATCCTGTGTGACTTCTCCACAGGGACTTTGAGACCTTTTGTTCCTTTACCCTTGCGTAAGAATGTTTTGATGTTCTCCATGGTCTTTGGCATCCCGGTATACGTGATGCTGACAAACTGATTTCCGCTGGTTTTGTATAGTCAGGCATGAGCTGTGAGATTCGAATGTAGACACGAACATGTATTCAATGCCAACATTCTAAGGTAAATCGACATGACACTGCATCACTCAGACCTTTCGCCAAACCAGATTCACAGTTTCTCAATGTCCATCCAGACGTTGCTGGCCCACTTCCACATTCCAGTGGTTATCCCTACCTGCTGACTTTATTTGAGAAGCTACTCCGCTGGGTGAAAGCTATCCGATTATCGAATATTGCTTGTGAAACAGTCAGTCAAGTGTTCATCGAAAAACTGAGGTTCATAGGCTGGGTAACCTTCTACATTTACAACCAACAGTGCAGCAATTTGAACCTAGTATCCTCCATAAGTTCGTGAATCTGTTAGAATTTGAATAAATTTATACCACCGCATATCATGCAGCTTCTAACGGTTTGGCAGGACGCTTTCATTGACATCTTAAAGCGTCCACTAACAGCAGTCAACAATGTAAAATGCATCGAGTCTCTGCCATTGGTTCTCAGCGTTCGTTCAACACTTAAACGGATATACTGTAAATTCCTGTTGAGCTGGTTTGCAGAGTAAGCCAACGTTTACCCGGTAAACTTGTTGCTATAGATTGCAGTGACCTAACTCCTACTGACAACCACGGTTATGCACAAACTCTTAGGCTTAATATGTGTCGTCTTCAACCCCTATCCACATGAATTCAGTGCAGACGGGCTAAGCTGGATGAAAGACTCCAAGATTGCACACACATATTTTTTGGCTGTGATGCAGTATGGAAACCCCTGCAAACATCATACAAAGGACTTTTCAAGATTATCATCAAAAAGAAGTTTTTCGTTATCGATAGATTAGGATGGCAAGATACAGCAAGTGTTGACTGCTTAAAGGTAGCTTAAATCGATGATGATCTAACCCTCCCTGCAATAGCATCATCAGAGCAACCATTGCCACAGAAAACGAGGTAAAAGCCTTTGGTCCGAAAAGACAGTGACTCTGCCAGCGAGGAAAACCCTGGCATTAGTGAGTGTCATCTGCTCGAGCAGATGGATGTGTTCGCTGGCTCAAACACCTATCTTGGAAGTTGACGCCTGATCAAGTCCAATTGGTGCTATCACGCTTTTACTTCTATGTCTGCTTACTACGTTTTGAATTACGAAAAATATTTTGAAAATATTCTAAACAATGCAAAAATGGTGAAAATGTACACAAAAATAGGCACCCTTTTGTCTGTCAGTATAATCTTATGTGCGTCGCTACATACTTGTGCGCGTTTTGTAGTTTTATCTAACTCCCATGACGACATTGTGTTTTCCTCATATCAGACCAGTAGAAAAGCTTATTATCGGATACAGGTTGGATATGGGAGATACCGATTAGATCGTTCAGCGGTTTCCTGTGCCGATCCCCCCTTGTGCACTTACACCCTGTAGCTTAAGGTTTGCTACGGAAGCGTAGGCGGAGACTTTTGGTTATTCACCATCACTGCGAGAAGTGCGTCTGGAATCAAAGTGCTCACACCTCATAAGTAATCCAATATCTCTTAACGAGCTAGTGTAAACCGACTGATTTCTCCGCTCTCGCTTCTA